ATTCATGCATGTTTGAGAAATCCTGCAGCATTTTTAGGAAGCCATGCCGAGGAGCAAAACGACAGGTAGGGACCTGAAATGCCTTTGGGAAGTGTCTCCAAGCCAAGCTTCCTTATCACGGAGCACACCTCCCAACCCCAGCACCCAAAACACCCCACCAATGAATCCTGCAGGCTCTTGGCAGTAACAAAGCAAACAAGGAGTGAATGAAACTGAACCTGTCTGCTGAGCTCCTAACTACATCTCACTCAGTGAAGCTCTTTTCAGATTCAAAACACCTTTGAGGAAATGTATTTTCAGATGCCAAGTAAACTGCATCATAGCACATGTGTGAACCCCCCCCCCCATCCCCCACACCAAAATGGGCGGGACAGAAGCTGAAGGTGGTTCTTAAAGAGATAGAGTCCAATAGAAGAGGAAGTGATGAGAAGATAAGTTTATTTTCTATTTAAACATAAAAACAGCATTTTCACAACAACTAAAGGTGACACAGATACTTTATGGTATAGTATTTAAATATATGCCCGAGAAACACATAATATTGCCTCTTCAATGTCCGCTGGTACATCTCAAGGTGGCAAATCCAATCAGACAAATACTGTGGACAATTCCGCCAAGCCGATCTATCAGCTTCTCCAAGATCAATTCCATCTGGCCAGCAAAGTCCAGGAACCACAGTCGGCCCACAACCCTCAGCAGAATCGCTTGCAGACCAAGTCCCAGTTTGCTCAAGGCTGAAGTCTGAGTGCTGATAGAACGGCAATCCTTCATACTGGTCAGGCAGCCAGGAAATGGCCTGAATAGCCACCGACGTTTTGCAGAACACCAGGAAACCACCAAGCCAATCTGTAGAATCCATTGATCAGAATCCAAATACATATCCAGCTAGTTGAACAGAGCAGAACAGAGGTCCCATCTTTGACATGCCCTCCCATGGGAAAAAAAACAAATTCCAAAAATTTATTAAGAGACCAGCTAACCAAAATCTATAAAAATAAATCCATAATTTTTGGTTTCGGATGAAAATGTAGAGGGTCCAACCAGCATAGCAGGGAAGATAAGGGAGGGCAGGAGAGAGGGAAAAAGCATCTTACTCCTCCAAGAGCAGAACAATAAAAAATAAAAATAAAAAAGATGAAGTATACTATTTATTTACTGTTATTTAACAAGGCAAAAACAGTCACATTTCTCTTTTGCAAGGGTGGCCTGGACCTGAAGGCAACTTAGTGTACATAATTTTGCATCATTTTTGTATCATCAGGCTCAAACTGCAATTTGTTTGTCTTGTACAGATAACATTCTTATCAGCCCTCAGTATTTAAGAGGATGGATGGCTTGACTGCAGCTCAGCAGGTGTTTACACAGTGATCCTGTTGATATAATAAACTTTATCGGTGACCAGCTGAGGGGATCAGGCCATGTCCATGGTTACTGAATGATGCACAAGAAAATCATAAGTTGTTATCTCGAGAAAGCGGTCCTCATTTCATGATATTGATATAAAATGACGTTATCACAAGAAAACCATGGGGGAAAAGCATTTGCGAAAAAATGCTACTCTCAGCTTTCGTTCCTAATGATTCCTTTCTGAAAGTTTTTGAAATCCATCTGATGGCTCACAAGATACTTTGGTACCAAACACAGATGAGGGTGAAAATATTAATGTCCACATCCACCTTCTACGGGCAGGTGATAACTGCATCTCTGATTTGGTTCTGACAGTCTAAGTTCCTTGTAGTGCATCAAACTGTTATCGCATAATTTAGAAATTCTCATCCAGATTCAGAGAGACAACAACTACAAACAGGTACAACATCAGAAAAACGAAAAAGGAACCACTAATGACAAATTTAGTGTTGCTCAACTTCATAGTGTTGACAGGGTCGGTATGAGTTCCTTACCATAATGCAGCTGGTCAGGTAGTTAAAAACGGTTGCCTTCAGTTCAAAGTTTTCTCCCCGGATGATGGAGTACGGCAGGGTGAGCTCAAGGAAGAAAGGCTGGAAGACTGTGAGCTTTTGTCGAGGAGCTAAACCGAAACCATTAGGGGACAAACAGTAAGTCTCCGTCTCCCAGGTGGTAATGGTGTCTGGGACAGTTACAGAAACATCCTTTGATCCAGACTCTCTGAAGCAGAAGAAACAAATACATTGTCACATCTAAATGGCAAAATACTGAAAGTTAAACAAAAACAATGCAACAGAATATTAAAAAATACTTTATTATATAATAATATATTACTTTACTATAGTTCTCTCCCTGGGCTGCCACCTTATCATGGTGGAGAGGTTTGAGTGTCCCAATGATCCTAGGAGCTATGTTGTCAGGGGCATTATGCCCCCGGTATGGTTGGATGAGATTGGCCCGGTGTGTCATGATTCACGTTCTGCTCCACCTGCCACAGCCTCCCTGTCACGTCATTCATTAATTAGGATCATAATCAAGCATCATGTCACTCACCTATTCTCCCCAGTATTTAAGTTCTCCACCACCACTGCTCCAGCGCCTGATTATTGAACGGTTCGCCAAGTAAATGTCTAGCATTCTCAAGTCATGTCTGGTCTGCCTGGTCACGACTCTCTTTCTGGTTTTTGGTCCTACRTCTCCTGCCTTGCCCCTGAACGGTACTTTGTTGGATTCTGATCACCTGGTTTTGACCCTCGACTCCTCAAACGGATTTTCGCCCTTTGCTCTTGCCCTTGTCTGACTCATCCAGCCATCTGCCTCCTGGTTCCAGACCTCAGCCTCTGTTCCTTGACCAAGAGATAAGTTTGCTCCTTCCAAACAAAGTCTGCTTTTCGGATCCATGTGTATGACCCTTGTTTGTGCTAAGGATTTCCCCGAGGTAAATAAACACCTCCATTGCCCGCAACACAGAAGTCGTTGCAAAGTCTTCAGACGTCTTCCCCGCCTGTCTACGTCACTCAAGGGATATCCCCGGAATCCCCGCTCATTGAAAAGTTTAGTGACTTTGTTTCACACTTCGTCAAGTTCTCTGTCCATCAAAGTCACTAACCTGGTTCTCTGTTGTTTAGAGCTCCTGATCCCTGTGACGCTAGGATCCAGAACCAGCTGCCTGTTTTTAAATAAAAACCTTAAAACTGCTCTGGTGTGTGGCAATTTAGTGAAACTCATTTACCCAGTCTTAACAGGGTGTTCCTTAAAGCTCTGGATGTTGTGGGGTTGTGTTGGTTGATTCAACTCTACAACATCACGTGGACTTCGGGGCAGTTCCCCTGGATTGGCAGACAAGAGTGGTGGTCTCCCTATTTAAAAAGGGGGACCACAGAGTGTGTTCCAACTATTGGGGGATCACACTTCTGAGCCTCCCTGGTAAGGTCTATTCATGGGTCCTGGAGAGGAGGGTCCGACGGATAGTCAAATCTCAAATTCAGGAAGAGCTGTGTGGTTTTCATCCTGGTCGTGGAACAGCAGACCAGCGGACCAGCCCTAATCCCAATGACATCATCGAGCACATATTTGCTTAATGAAATGTCATGTACATCGAAGAACTAATCAATACGAACCTGCTGATACCTTGTTTTTAAACTTTGGTTTGCTTATAGCAAAGTTATTGGCATTTAAGTTTTCTGTACCCCTAATTTTAATGGTCACAATGGAAAAGTGGTGTGGCCAAAAAGGGGTCCCTGGGGGGCAGTGAGACCCAAATTTTTTTCTTCTAACATGCATTTTCTGAAAGAGTGGACCCTAGGGTACATGAAAATACCAGAGAAGTTCAGTGGGGGGGGGGG